CTACATCTGATGGTGGAACATCTTCCTACATCTGATGGTGGAACAGCACAGAGAGCTCAGCTGTTGCCATGGTTACCCAGTCTGTCTGCTTGTCTGACTGTCTATCTGTCCTCATATAGGGAACTGGTACTTCCTTCCTGGTGACCTTAATGCTCTGCTGTGTGGAAACAGCTCAGACTCCGGGTACGTACATATGACTGATGAATGGTCTGCTGCAGTCAACAACAACAACAACAAGGTGTCATGTGTTCAGGAGGTGTCCAGAGGGGTATACCTGCCTGAGGGTGGCGAACAACCCAAACTACGGATATACCAACTTCGACTCATTTGGTTGGTCTCTGCTGGCTTTGTTCAGAGTCATGACTCAGGACTTCTGGGAAAACCTGCTGCAACTGGTCAGTAACGAACTGGTCCCAGTACACACTCCCCCTGTGTCCCCATCAAATGCCAGAGCAGGAACCAGGAGATCCAGAAGGAGCCATAGTAGCACTGATCAGGGCTGCAGTGGTCGTCCTCCTACACAAACAGTCAACTACTTTCACTATCTCACATTGGAAAGCTGATCTACTGTTCTACTAGAAGTAATCAGACTACTGTCTAGGGATACAGTTCAGAGGTATTTGACTTTAAGTGATCCTGATGTTTCTGCTTTGTGCTCCAACTCCATCTCACCTGTGTGTCTGCAGACGGTTCGATCAGCAGGTAAATCCTACGCCGGTGTTTTCGTGCTCCTCTTCCTCCCCGGCTGCTTCTGTGTGGTCAGCCTCATTCTGGCAATGGTTGCCATGGCGATGGCAGAGCAGGAGGAGGCAGGCGCCGCTGAGGCCAGACGGAAAGAAGCAGAGTTCAGTCGGATTGTAGAGGTGGTGAAGAAGAAAGAGGAGGAGGAGGAGGTGAGAGTCTGACCTTCATCGCTGCACAACACCGCTCTCAGCTCCAACAGCCAATCAGACACTCCGTTACAGGTTTAGGCTTCAGGCTTTTGGGATGATGGAGAAAACACTGTTCAATAGAACTCTGGTCCAGTTGGTTTTAGGATTCAGATTTTAAATATTAATGAGGAAATGTGACCGATTTGAGCTTCAACAGGACAAACGGATCAACCAGAAGAAACTCTGATCAGCAGCTGCAGTGTGACTCCACAGAAAACTGGTTATCCTTCCCATACACTACACGATTCCTCCAGTTTCAATCTGTTGACTGACTTTTGTTTGAGTTTTATTTGGAAATGTGACTTTTTATTTCTTTACAGCCTCATTTTCACAGAATATCTTTTGTTAGCAATGTCTCCATTTGACATGAAAGATCAGGATCGAACTGAACACAGTGGACACTTGTTCTATGCTGATGTTTCTGTGAACAGATTCACAGGTTGTTCCTCAGTCACTTCTGTTCCATCAGTTACTGTGATTCAGGAACTCTGTTCTATTTGATCCCAGTTTGTCCTGAACAGCTGAGCTGTAGTCGGCGCTCATGAACCTCCTCAGAGTCTCTGTCATTGCTGCTAAACTCCCACAATGCTCTCTGCTGCCACCATGAGCTGTAGTCTGTGGACACCTCCTCTGGTCTCTATAATATCAAACAATGAGAGGCTCCACCTGGTGGAACAGCCAGGTACTGCAGCTGGTCTACGATAACTGATGTATATGTTATCGAGGAAAATGGAATCAGCAGATACTAAATATTACATGACACAGGTCAGGGCTTAAGAACTCGATGAGACTGTCTGAAACTGTTCAGAGTCAGTGTGGAATGATTCCCGCTGAACTAGCATCTCTCATGAAGATGTTCTGTAATGACAGCAGGCCTCCAGCAGGGCGGCACTCCCAGAGGAACAGGACTCACCCCTGAAGAAGAATTCAGCTGCAGAAACTCCAACCGTCGAGCGAGAACACGATGCCATGAAAGGTGCACATGGTTTTGTTAGTATTCCTGTGAGGACAGCAGCCACAGGATGCTCTGTCCTGTGAGAAACATTCACATGAAGCTTCACTTGATGTGTTTCAGATGAACACGAGCCTTCGAGCTGCAGCTTCATCCACGTCTGCCTTCAAGGGGACTGTTGTGGCTGCTGGCGGTGGATCAAACAGCGGTGCTTCACCGTCATCATGAACCCCTGCTTTGAACTTGGGATCGTCCTCTGCCTCGTCCTCAACACCATCTTCATGTCCATGGAGCATTATCCCATGACGGCTGACTTTGAGGAAATGCTGAGCACCTCAGGGCTGGTCAGTGGTAGAGAAGAGATTCAGTATGAGAACAGGATTAGCTTGATTGTAGTAAGCTGTGGTGGACTAAACACCTGTTGAGTCCAGCAGCAGGTTAAAAAGTCACTCTGGAAAACAGGAAAATGTGACAGCTGAATCTGACCAGAAATATCTTCATTCTGACTAGTTCCACTGGCTAGTTCCACTGACTAGTTACACCGAGTAGTTACACCGATTTGTTACACTGCCTTGTTACACCGACTTGTTACACCGACTTGTTACACTGTTCTGACCTCTGATTCCTGTGCAGGTCTTCACGGGGATCTTCACAGCTGAGATGATCCTCAGACTCGTGGCTTTGGGCTGTTCTGGATACTTCAAGGTCAGACTTGTAGTTTGCTTCCAGCTCAGTGATTGTGACTGACTCTGTTGTCATGGAAACATATGTGATGGTTCTGTTGCCATGGTTACAGGTGAACTGGCACATTTTTGACTTCATCCTCGTTGTCAGCAGTCTGGTGGAGCTGGTGCTGGCGGACATTGAGGGGTTGCCCGTGCTTCGCTGCTTCCGAGTGGTCAGTAATTCATCTTCATCATCTTCATCATGGTTGCAAGTTAAAAGTACAGTCCTTCACCTGTCTCTTTATGTCCTCACCT